ATTGCATATACTTGCTATCTGTTTTAGGCGTCGCATATATTCTCTCAAGGGCCTTCATTGTCGCCGAGATTTTTGCAAGCCTGCGGTATTGTCCTGTTGGAGTTTTCATCACCTTCCAGTGGTTAGAGCTGTTTCCTCATTTTTAACCTTATTCCTGATTATTGTGTCCTTTTCTTTTCGGAAATTATATTAGCACGATCCTCAATAAGTTTGGCCGCTCGAAAGGTTTCTTCCCGACCGTGGCGGCTCTCCGTGACACCATCTAGGCGACGGTTCAGAAAAGCAAATAATTCTCTTGGGAAGACGCGACATGCGATAGGCATGAAATCATATAAAAATTCTGGGCTGTATGTTTGCAAGGCGTCATGGATACCAAGGAAGCCGACAAGCTCAGGATGAGCATGAGTGTAGAACGGGCCTCATGCGCCGCCCCAACATCCGCCAGATACCACGCGACGTTAAATGTACAGAGATGCGCTCCATCTTCTTAACATTGTCGTCTAGAAGCTGCGTCGCGTTCCATCGCAGTTCGTGTCTTGGGGTCAAGTGGACAACACGGTGAGGGACTGGATTGAAGGACCAACAAGACCATCTTGGAAGTGAGATTAATTTGACAAGCGTGAATGTTGATTTGCCCCGGAAGATATTAATGGCAGCAAGGTAGTCTTCGTTAAACGCTATTGGTGTCATCAGCCTTGAGGTACTCCTTGTCCAGCAACTCACCGTGTCGTGGTGGTAGTCACCTACACTCATACAGTACTCGCGTCCCGACCAGTGAGAAATGGAACCATTCGATACTGGGGAAGTGGATTCATACTTCCACTTCATCTGTGGTGGCTTTGGATCATTGGTAGGAATATGCCCTAGTAGCTTAGCCTCGTAGTTAATCTTTTCCATCTCTCAGATTATCAAACCAATCGTTAATCAAAGTTTTCTTAGCCGGCTGTTCCGCAAGGAATGTCTCTGATGGAAAAATTGGTTGTTCGATGCTCTCTTGCGGGTAAAAGCGGTTGTCATCGAAAAATACCCATGCGCGCTCCTGGCCGAGCTTGTATCTGAGTTTCTCTTCGGGCTTCAAAGAGAGCCGCTTGTATAAAGATGATTCATAACCATTTTTGTATTTTCGCTTGGTTACGAGTAACACCGCAAAGTACGATTCCCACGGGTGGGAGATAGAAGGGGATCCAAACTTCCAGACGTCTTTGAGTTTCTCGTCGAGTACTTTCCTTTCATTTGGCTCAGCCATATCGTAGCGAAGGAAATCAATGAGACGATCGAGCCCAAGCATTGATAAACCAGCCAGAATATCATCGCCAATATCATCGCCACGGTCGCGAGAAAGCAAACGCAGATTAGGTGCGTAGACGTTCGCATCAAAGAAAAGGGCGTCGGGAACGTGAGAAAACAACTGAGTTCTCCATAAAGGAGGCGCCAAAGCGGCTGGGAGATCAGCATGGTTGCATTGTGCTAGCATTGCCCCGTATAGAGAACAGACGTAGCTATGGACACACCCGACAGCTTCGTACTCGGCGTTGCTGATTTTACGCGGCCCTGGCTTGCTGGGAATATAAGCGAATGTGTTGTTCTTGCATAGTAGGTCAAACACCAGAAATGCTTTGACAAACCTTTTCCGTTCTGAGGATGTGAGACTGGCGGAACTGAAACGCGGTGTGACCTTGAGACCTTTGAATATAAGATGTCCTCCAATTGGTGGCGGCTGAATCTCTGGTAGACAAAGATATTCCTGAGGGGGGAAGGAAGCGGTGGCTTTGGTGATATAGTCCTCGACCAAAAGAAGAATTCGATCATATAATTTGTTGAGCTGACTCACCAGGTGGTCATCGTCACCCTTGAATGGATCGGGCAGATGAGATCTTGACCAAGCCAGCATGTGTGCACGACAAAGCTGCTTGTGTTGATGCTTATCACCAGAGCTCCGACGACTCGGAAACAGCAAGATAGCCATGGCATCTTGTATCATCTCGGCGTCAAACTCGGCGGCAAGCACTTGTCGTAAGATAGGCTTCCTGTGTGCGACATATTGTTGCAGCATGGTGGGAGAGGCTCGAATTATCCGTGATATCGAAGTTTTGCAGCTAGTCGATACGAGAACCTGGACACGTAACTCCGGTGGTAGCCTGATGAAAGGATCTGTCACAACGAGCGCCATTTCCTCTTGTTCTTCAGTGGTCTCTGTTCAGATGAGAAACTGAAAAAGGCAAGAGGGGGGAAATTATGAGGGTATTTATATCCAACTCCAGTGGCAAAGCAACCAGAAGGCCAAAGACTATATTGTCGAATGAGTCATTTCTAGGGTTAAGGTTCGGAGGCAATCCCAACATCCAGTCGTCTATGGGATAACTGCGGCCTTTAAGGTTAAGCTTTAGGCTGCAAATACAGGTGGTAAACGATAATACAATATTCTTTTTCTCAATATAAGCTTTTAATTAGAAGCTTTTATGATAACCAATAAATCTTCTTATAAGCCCTAGGGCATTGTAAAGGGAAGAGATCAGGAGGTGTGTAAAGGGATATAACCTCAGCAACATCCAGTCGTACGCCTGAATCTTGAACAGATAGTAGTCATCGCTTGAGGTCTTACCCATGATGAAGTTTGCAATTAAATCTACCTTTCTTCTACTATATATGGCCTTACTGTAAGTTTTTCCTGCTGATTTCAGCTCTCGTAAGTCTTAAATGTATATCATCAAGTTGGAAACTGCTCCAGTCAGATCTTGACATTTATGATTCAACCTTTGCAAGATTCCATAAGACTTGCATATGCCAGTACGCTGACTCTTTGTGGTCCGCTATGACTTTATATAATATAAGAGTGTCGCCAGCCTTTAGGTGCCCCCAAATGAGTACCGCGTTGTGGTGGTGGCCATACATCCCCGCGCCTTTAGCTGAATAAAGCATAAAGGCATTGTGTATATATTAATAGACTATATAATATATTTTAGAATTTACTTAAAACTTATATAAAGTTTTATTTTATGTATAATAAGTTTTTTATTTATAGTATTTTATTTAAAAAATAAATTTTAAAAAATGTTTAAATAATTAAGAGATAATAATAAATTTAATTTTATAATTAAGTTAATTATAAATTTATAATATATTAGGTTTGATATAATACTACCTAGCCTATTAACCTAAATCAACCCTATTATAGAATCTCAGGCAGTATACCAGCGGCCTATTTAATTTTATAAAATAAGCCTCTTCTCTCAGTCTAACTAATAATTGCATCGGACGGATATAGAGAACGCTAAATACATTCTTCCAAGAGTACGGCAAAGAAGCCGACCTTTGCCTTAATATCACATCAAATCATCATTTCAGGTTATCAGCATTTGATCGAAGCAACCAGTGCCTACATGACCTATCTTCGGCGAGAAGGCTAGAATCCCGGGGGCGTAGACCACCGAAGGCGAATTTGACGCCGGCAACTGAGCGCCTCCAGGGAGAGAAGAGGTGGAATTTGCAGCTCATGGTAAGACGATGCTAACCAATGACATTGTCGAAACAGGCGTCGATATGGAGTCACGAACTCCAAAATGCCTTGACGTTAGCAAGGAGATAATAATGTGGCATTGTGGTGATTGTCTTGTCTCCAGAGACATGTCAAAGGCACCTTCTTATAACCAATGATGGCGGACAAATAAGTCATCTTTTAGGGTTTTATAATATCAGCTTTTGCTGTAGCAATTGGTCAGACATCTTTATATAATGTATAAGTTGTAAGCTAGATGTGTCATTTGCAGTTAAGACTTGTGGCTGAGAACTTAAATCAGCAGAGAGAACTTAGTGGTGATTGTCATTGGCTGTTCATGGTAATATCTCTGTATCGACATAATTCTCCGTGCCGCCCTTGCATAGTATAATGATTGATTACTCCATCGCTAAGAGCTCCAGCTTTGTAAATTTCCCATAGAATATAACGCGAAGAGCTTGGGTGTATATCAGTTAGTATGCTACCTGAAATATAGTCTTGAAACGTTATTTTGAGCTCAAACCTGATAGTTGGTGCATTGTGCGCGTTACCTCTATACATCAAGGTCATGTCACCGCTACATTAAGGATTGGAATTTATGACAATTCAAATTGTGTCATGAACTTCTGTTGATGTTATATGCATATTGCCTTCCCAAAGGAAAGGCTGATTGGGAACTCTTAGCGTGTTGGTAGATATGTCTCGTTGAGATGTCATAATGATAAGCTTTGACCATCAATCGATCAATCGATCAATCGTATCATCTCAGAAAGTTGTTTTACATCTACTGACAGGGTGTGGTCATCGTATGTAGATTATGACTCGGCACAAAGAGACACCAGTAATTTAGGTGAGGTATTGGATCCATCGTCTCCGCCATCCTCTTTCAAAGTACCCATCATCATACCACCAACCACACCAGGCGCACTAAACATGTGGTGCTCTTCAACGTTCTGGTATGATGTACAGCACCAAAAGTTGTCTGGCGGCCAACCAGCATATGGTGAGGGTTGGAATGCCCGCGGCCTTGTGTTACCATATCTACTGTCAATATTCATCAGGGATAGTGTCAGCAACAGGTTTAACCTTTCACCAAGATCATATTTTCGAAGACAAACTTGACTCTTGAACCCTTCTTGAAGCCAAATGATGGAGAAGGACACTGGCATGGGACGAGTGTGCTCTTGCATCTCTGGTAATGATAAATGTCGGGACATTCTTTCCATGGAGAAGAAAACTTGGAGGTAACTGTAGCAAGTCGCCGTTACCTTGGGTACCTTAGTAGGTAAGGCTGTCTATCAAAGCCCATTACTTGAGGCAGGTACAGCATAGCCTGTTTACCTATTATTGCAATGTAGAATGTAGCTCTCTTTTACCCTCATCATCATCATATTACGCTTGGGAGTTTTGGTTTTTGGTTTTCTTTTTGGATTTTATTATCAAATTAATTACTTGATAATTATAAGTACCCTCCTCTTCTTGGCACTATATCAATACCATCGCCATGAACGCCGCCGACCAAGCCCACTTGGCTGCCATGGGACTAGCCACCCCTCTCCCTACCCCTACCCCTGTCTCTCGTCGACAGGAGATCCGCGACAGAGCTGCGGCTCTCAGGCCGCATATCATGGGGCGTTCCGTGACCTAGGCCGAATACAAACGCCGGCATGATGGGATGAGAGTTGCGGGAAGACGCAGGTTCGGGGAGGCCAGGCGTCAACACAAGTTGATGCAGAGATGGCAGAACGAAGAGGCACTGAGATACCGGCAAAGGGTCTCGGCATTGGCCAATGGCCACAACCCTGTTTGGGCCTTTAGGCTTCATCTACAGTGGTTGCCCGGCTTCCTGGCAAGTGGGAATATCCCACTGCAGGAGCGCAAGATAGTGGCTGACATTGCCGAAGAGACGGCCCATTTCGCTATCGAGTAAGTTCTTGTCCTTCACATGCCATTTGAAAAGTTTGACAGCTTACTGATATTATCGAAGGCAAGCAGAGAAGCATAATCGCCTTCTCCGGAAATGGGTATGGGGTTACAATACCCTTGCTGACCGACGAAGGCATGAGCGCTTCGCTCATTCGGCACACCGTGCCGCTATCAAATGGGTGGAGATAGCTGACAAGTGGTCCCCTTCTCTCTAGAGTCTCGACCCGACTGGTGGTGCTGGAGATATGCTGTGCCCGCGTCACCCACTAGGACACAAGTGGGTGTTATATAATTACTTATACGAAGGAAAACGTAAGGAACCCTTGACTCAATCGACTGGTGACCTTGTTCTTTCAAGGTCTTGAGGCCCGCCTGTGGACGGCTCCCTTTTTAGAACTTGGTTCATCACTACGATCCGGTCAAGTAAGCGAAGGAAAACGCAAGGAACCCCTGATATTCCGACAATTTTCGATCTCACAAGGTCTTGAGGCCCGCCGATGGACGGCTCCCTTCCGAGACGAACTTTGGACGATGTCAGGAGGCGAAGGAAAACGCAAGGAACCCGAGGAAAAGATCACTCGTAACATACTGCGAAGGAAAACGTACAAAACCCACGTGACAAGGTCGCATCCAGTGTTGTTTCAAGGTCTCGAGGCCCGCTGATGGACGGCTCCCTTAACACCTGGATCGATGGCAACGACCGAGTCAAACGTCGACGATGAGTTCGCACTTCTACGTAGTGTCGACGATCAACTCCCTTTTCAAGGAGGCAAAGACGAACTCGACCTGATATGTACGGAACGGCTGATGCGATATGCCCTCAACTGTGTGCTGACAGTGTTATTCTGAGTTGATGGACCTGGCATTGTGTTTCATACCTCACCTCAATACGCTGTCTACCATTTCTCCCATAACTCAGGTACATGCATGTCAACATCGCAAGACGGACGACTTAACCTTTCCGGTCTCACGTCTTAATAGAAAGAAAGGCCCGGAATCTACAGAATAGCTCAAGTACGCATGATTCAAACAAATACTGTCTACTGTTTATCGGCCACAACTCGACTGCTGAGTTCTCAGATCAACCTGAAGGCCAACAAATATCAACATCAAAATCAAGACCATCAAACATCAGGATCATCAGACATCAAGACCATCAAACTTCAACTTCAACATCAAAACCATCAACATCAAGATCAAGATCACCATTAAGTCCATCAACAAGATCAAATATCTATCAAACTAGATAAGAGCTTATCACCTCAACAATCCGCCGGATGCCGAGTGTCGACTTACGAGCGGTGGCGTCGCAACACCCCTCCAGAGAAACGTTCCTTCAAACAAAGCGTTGAGACACACATACCTTTTCTTTTCAGCTGGCTGCTACTATCTAGTTACTTTCCATTGTGCTAGAAGCTCACTACATGCCACAATACCAATCCATATGGCCGTATCGGAGCCTCTCAGGGCACCCCCTTTCGAAGTGCGACGAACCCTCTTGTCCTCAGCATACGGAAACTACACAGCGCCGAAGACCGCCAAAGACCCCACGCCTCAAGCTAGGTTCCAGACTGCAACACCCAGGTCGTTCGTCCTTGGGAGCCATGCTGAAATAGTAGTGCAGTTGCAGTTCAACAAATAACACCCAATTCTCGAGAGTTGGATGGAGTCTTCGACATAATGTTATACATACTGGCGCTTCCTAGTGTAAATGCATACACTCGTTGGCTTTTGCACTGAGGACGAAAATGAGAGTTAGCAGGAAAATTCAACAAATAGCAACCCTTATCTACGATACCATGACCTTTTTGTTCCGGTTTCTCTGTCTATTTTCAAGCTCTCTTCAATTCTTTTCAGCTTTTTACCTGGGCAGAGAGCAGCTGGGGCCTGCTGTGATGAAAGAATTGTCAACTTATGTAACCATTATCAACGCTTTCGGTCTGGTCAAGTGCTCAACCATCAGCACTGCAACAACCTCCTATGTTAGAGAGCCCTAGGGCCAGACAACTGCGTTGGTATCGTTCCAGATCTTGTACATGGAACTTCGGGTTAGACGAATCCGACCTGGCCCCAATTCGGAAAACAGGGGGGCTGTGATTTCTGGAGCCCAGAGACTATGGCTGCAACAACGAACCTAATGAAAAAACGGGTTTTCTTTTTCCGTGGCATCAATTGGCTTTTTCGAGGATGTTCCCACATACCGAGGCCCGCGCCGGCCAAGTCGAGTCGACTCGACTAGACCGGAATCTTGCTCTTTTACATTACAGACCATAATGGAAACCAGAATTCCTGGTAATGGGAGGATATGGAGCCAGGTTCTGAGTCCCTTATCACCAAGAGTAAATTGTACTCGAATTTATCACGTCTACGTGGCGAGTCGATCACTACTATGCAGACAATTTCCCCAAAGTCGCCGACAGTCTTCAAGCTTCAACCAGTCGTTCCGTAGCTTAGACACCCGACTTTATCGAAGCGTCAATACTTATGAGTAGCTATCAGGTCTCTGAACTCAAGATAGCAGTCTCAAAACTAAGTTTCAGGAAGCATACCATCGACTGACATAACAGTCCAAAGTTTCGCATATTCTTGGCTGATAATGAGAGATACGGAAATCACCGAGAACGTTCCTGAGTCGCGTACCTGAGAAAGAATAGATTTGCAGTGTTTCTAGGATGAACAGTGGCACAATGAAGGTCGCTGAAAACGATTTTAGGCTCAGTCAGTACCAACAACGTCCAAGCATATCCCTTCTCTATCAATAGGGAACTGATGGTAGAGGTAAAGAAGCCTGGGATCACATCAGCAGCATGAAGCTACCGCATCACCGCCTCCGATGAAGAGGAAAACACCTGAGAACAAGACCCAGCGGGTTGGGTAAGGACGAATCGCTAGTAACCCGCCATGATCTATGCAATGATGGAAGCAAAAATTCCGGTGCTGCTAATAATTGGCACTCGCCTTCTGTCTATGCGCTCAACCAGCAGGCCATGGGGTACGGCACACAATAGGCCTAGTGTTAAAGATACTAGCTGCTGGAAGCCACCTCACGCACAAGCGCGAGCTCTTTCTGCACAGGCTTAATTTGGCAACAGTCATGCTCTGAGTCTTCTACTGCATACGACTTGGGGCAATGTCGCAGATGGTGTGGATCGGTGCGGCCTGCGCAGAGGAGCTGGATGATGTCTCTTTCGAGAAGAGTCGAGGCTTCATGTTGATTTTTGACGCCGTATCTTCGGATTGTGGCCATTGAATTGTTCCTGCGATGTGCGATAAGTCACCCACGAAGATCGCAGTGTGGCAGCGCGTGTATTGACTCGTCCACTTTATGCCAGCACCGTGTCCTAAATCATGAAAGATTGATCTGCCCAAGTTCGTGTGGAGCTCGAGAGGAACAAGACCAAGGTTCAGAGGAAAAGGCAATTGGGGTCGGGGAATTGAGCAAAAAGTGAAGAACTCAAGCCCTCAAAAAAACCATAAAATAAAAAAGGTTTTGTTGACTGTAATGTCATTTCCTTCAGTGAGTGATGTGCCTAGAATTTGGGGACCGCCCAAGGGAGGGAAGAAAACTCAAGACCTTAATCCTAAGAGATAAAAAGACTTAGGTAATTTGGCCTCAGCTAAGAGGACTCTTTTCTTAAGTTTATACTAATATTTCTCATCTCAAGTCTCGTATTCTTGCTACCCAGGGAACCGCTCATACCTATCTACTAGCTGTTCGTGGCTGTAGCGCTCCAGTGTAACTATTGTGCTGCATGTCTTGGTTGACCGTCAGACTCGTGACGTATCCATCACGTGAGATCCTTATTCCCATTCGCGCCCGCTTACGTATCGATATCATCAACAATCTACGTTAGTCTAGACTAACTCTAACCGCCAGCAAGCGCTCCCCAAACTCAAAATGGATCGCGTCTCAACTGAACTCCTCTCCATGATCGCAGCGGAGGCTGCTGCGTCTGGACCGCAAATTGACATCAACACCGTCTTCGATGTCTGGGACTCTAATGACACGTTGAAGATCCCCCGAACGTTGTCACGACACAATTCCCTTGCCCCATACGCCGCCGTTTCACGCAATTGGCAGCTCGCTTTTGAGCCCTTCACTTTCCATACCCTTGTCATCTCGCCCAAGAGGTTGATTGAGGCGGCACAGCACGGGTACCTCACTGAACGGCGCCTCGGGTATGTTCGCTTCATTGCTGTTCTCATTGCTTTTCCGCTTCCGCGACCGTGGGATACTCCCATCATTTTCCCTCCTGGGCTAGATATAAGAGGGGACTTTTTGAGAGCTAGAGATGATGCAGGCTATGTCTCATCTGAGGATGAGCTCGAAGAAAATGAAGGTGATGGGGACGGTGACGATCTCACTAGCGCGATCGACTTTCCCCACCCGAGAGACAGAGGCTACGATAGAGTATTCGCCAAGATCATGAGAATTCTCTTCAACGCCCTCAAATTGGCTCCTGTCCACGAGAATGACCAAGCATACATCGATATTCGGTTCGGCTTCCCAATTCCTCGGGAATTTGGACTGAGCCGCATGTCCAGCCCTGAAGAGATGGAAGCAAATACCCTAGAGGGTCCTTGGCTTACAACTATCTATCTTGGTATGAGCCACGACGGCAAGGAGCTGCCAGAATTGCCGTCCATAGCTTCATGCAGCTTTGAACTCGTCTCGTGGAGTTTATGCTTCGAACCTCACACAGCATGCATCTTTGCAAGTAAGATGCCAAATCTGAAGAAGCTCAAACTTCATCTTAGCGACAGAGAGTTGAAAGATCCAGGTCTCAGAAATGAGATGAGAAAGAGTAAGGTCTCTATGGGCTGCATACCTGAGTCGCTGACAGTTCTGTAGAGCTCGCAAGTTCGTTGTCTATCTTGCCACAAGGCATCTACGACTTCGATTTTCATTATTCACGAGGCATACCGAGGGATCACTCACATATGCCCACGAGCATACTAGATTCAGAAGAAGACTACGATCACCTTAGTCAAGCTCTCTTCAACTTCTCGCAGCGAGAGAATATAACGCGATTCTCAGCGGAGGGAAGTTTCGAGCTGACCATAATGGGCCCGTCGGAAGAAGCTCTGTCTGGTTGTCCCGGCTGGTCCAAACTCGAAAACTACGAGATCGGTTTTCTTGCCATCACCCCCGCCGGAAAGTGGCTCGCAGTGCCCTATAAGCAGGTTCCGAACACTGATATCTTCAAAACGAAAC